AATAATAATACTACGACGACATATATATATATATATATATATATATATATATCAAATTTTCTCAATATTTAAGCTCATTAAGAAGATTAATCATGAATGATTAATCGGTTCATTTTATTTAAATCACTTTAAGTAATTGTTGTCATGGCACATCAAAGATCAAGCAAGATGCATGAAGGCAACACGTGATATTTGAAATTTATTTATATAATTAGTTTTTCGTATTTAATCACTCGAAAACACACATGCTCACATAAAAACTGAATCTATAAATTGATAATAACACTTTTTTAATATTCATTTTTTTCCATTTTCCATCCATACCTATACGTCATTCCACGAAACCCCTGAAATAGATATTTTCCATTTGTTAATCATTATTTTAGAATAATTGTAACAATTTTTGTTCATGCATAGTTCATGCTTAAACTTTCATTTGATCTGTTTCACGATTAACCATCACCACATAACTAGGATTGCTAAAACCAGCTGGTATTTCTAACCTTAAATCACTCTTCTGTTTAGGCATATTTACATAATTATCTTGCGTCCTAATGATAGTGGGTATAAAATCTTTCTCTGATATTGTATTTCCATTATTTAATTTTTCATTGTCATCAGAATTTTTTGAATCGTTCTTATTCCTTTCATTAAGATTTATTAATTGACCATTTCGTGGAGTATTACAATATCCAAAATCTCTATTGATTGGTCGATCTATTGTTTGATTTTTCATTGCCTCTCGCTGTCGAACGAATTCTGCTCGTCGTGCATGTACATTGATAGGTTTTAAATAAGGATCTTCTTCCTCTTCCTGTTTCTTTAACATTGGTGATATTTCTATTGCGTCTTCTGAGTCAGAAGTAGGCGATGGAAATTCAAAACGAGTACCTTCTTGATTTGGTCTAGGACTGAATATTTCTGATTGATATCCCTGACTATTGGGACTCATACATAAGTACGTTGAATCGGTTAAATTTGAAGGCAAGTTTGAATAATCATGAGTAGGTGAGGAAAGTGTTGTATAATCAGGTGAAGAAAGCATTGTTAAATAATCACTTCGTCCATCTTCTAACATTGTTGTATTCATATCCATATAAGGATCATTTAAACTAATATAATGCTAAATCAAATGAAAATATTTAAATTGTATATGATTTTAATAATTGATGAGTATAATAATTTCATTTATTCATTTCAATGTATTATATACATCGTGTACAATGATTATTATACTTTTGAATCATCATATTTTTTGAATAAAATTAAAAAAAATTATTGTAAAAATTAAATTTTTTCAAATAAAAATAAATTTAAAATATGATAAATAAACACATATTGATATCAAACTTACCGTTTTTACACTTTTTTCTAATAGATCACCAATATTTTTAACTAATTGCGTGAAACTCGGACGTAAACTAGGCTTAGCCATCCAACAATGATACATTATGTTATATCTATGAAATTTGAAATATGAAATTATAATACAAACAATAGAAAAAAATGATTTTTGTTTTCTTTTTAAAAACGAAATTGTCGTTATAACTTACATTTGGGAAGTAGCATATTCTGGTTGTTCCAATCTATATCCCTCAATTAATTTCTGATATTGTTTCTCAGCTTCCATTCCTGGATAAGGTGTTTCAGCTAATGTAAAGAATTCCCATAAAACTATACCAAATGACCAAATATCTGATTGTGTTGAAAAAATTCGATCCCTAATCGACTCGATAGCCATCCATTTTATAGGTAATAGACTACCTTCTTTTTTTTTATAATTATTATCTTTGTACATAGTTTTTGCCAGACCAAAATCACAAATTTTTACGACATTATTTTCGGCTAATAAAATATTTCTCGCAGCCAAATCACCGTGTAATACCTAATAGAATAATTATAATGAAATAATTATATTAATAATTATAATGGAATATTAAAATTAATAGATTCAATTATTTAATAATTTTTATTGCAATTAGTTAAAGATTTTAATTAGAAATAACATATTGACTTCGGAAACTGCTTCTGAAACTTGATATTATTTATGATTCAAAACTCTCAAACTCAGATAAATAATAATTTTATCTAATTATATAATATAAATATATATAATATAAATAATTAAAATTTTTTCTAAAAAAAAAATTGTTTAGATTTCATGTAATATTTTTTTTTTTTTTTAACAAAATAGATTTCTCAAAATTCATCGCAATTGCATCCTACTTAAAAATTTTTCGATTAATGGGTCAATTTTATATTTATTAAATATATTTATTAAATAACTGCATAAAATCAGATCACAATTGTATATAAATGTACCTTTCTTTGGCTAAGATATTCCATTCCACGCGCTACTTGAAAGGCCCAAGATAATAAATCTTGTGTACAAATCGGTTTTAAATTATGATCCTTATAGTCACCCCGATAATTAAATCTCCATCCTTGGGACGAATTATTACTTTGAATACCACCATCCGGTGACATGCTAACTCCTTGAGAATCCATTGCAGAAGTTTGATAATTCATCGATTCGATGGCAGAATTATCACTAAGACTGCGAGAAAATGACAATGCCACGTATTTTATCCTATCATATGAACAGAAGAAAACACATATCCATCGTTAACACCACAACCCCATGCAGAGCATAAATATATGAATATAGTAACATATAATATGGTTATGAACGATGAGAAGAAGAAATATAGAAATTGTAATAATTTGCAAATTCTGTTAAAAAGCATAATAGTCAAATGTAAAATTTAGAAATATTTTATATTAGATCACAATGTTTCATTATTTAAAACATTCATAATGGATAATTGATAATTAATTATTAATATTAATTAAATATTAATTAAATATTAAATATTACAATGTTGATATTAGTTATTTTACATAAATTTTAATTAAACATATTTTTATAAACTATATTCAAAAGATTATTGAAATGAAGAGTTATTAACGAGCGTATTAATAAGTAAAAATGCTATATGAAAAGATAAAAAACAATAAAACAAACCTATTATTACTGCTAATACTGACGGATCTGGTTAAAAGATCTTGACCGATACTAGGATCGAATTTACCAGTTGTTGGATCTATTTGATTGATAAAATCAGCCCTATGTCGTAATAAATAATTGTGTAAATTTCCAAATCGGCAGTATTCTACGATTACTAATAATTCACCTATTTATAAAGAAGAAAAAATATTAAAATCAAAATTTAAATTTTACATAAAATATTAATATTAAATTTTAAAATTAAATTGTAAAATTTTATTTATTATTTTCTTCTTAAAACTTTGAGACAGATTCAAAAAAAATTTTTGATTTTATTTATTTATTAAATTAATTATTAAATTATTTTATTATTTGTATCATTTTTTTTAAATTCTACAATTGTATAAAATACATACGTTTGGAAATATTTTTCGTACAAGCACCAAGAAGATTGACTACATTCAAGTGTTTACCAAGATGCACCATAATTTTCAGTTCGCTAGCAAGTGCACGAACACAAGTCGGAACTGTTGTTCGACGAACCATTTTTACTGCTACTGTGGTAACTGGCTCATTCTCGCAAATTCCCTCTGCTTCCGCTTTCATAACAACTCCAAAAGCTCCGCTTCCTAATTGTTTTCCTTTAAATCAAATAATTAAGTTAAATTTCAATTATAACAACAAAAAAACAATCTAATAAATGCAAGTACAATATTTATATTAATATATACAATATTTACTAAGCACAATATTTATTAATAATATTTACATTTGATAAAAATATCAATATTAAATTAAATATTAAATTAAATATGAAAAATATAATTATTTTTTTTACGTCAAAGTTTATCTGTATATAATAAAAATATAATAATATAATAATTATATAATAAAAAATTGGCTTAATTATGCTGATTAATTTTAATATTTTCTTGAATTTCGATCAGATTCAACTAGATATCGGATTAAAAAATCATTTGGAAATAACTCGTATTTAACTACCACGCTACAAGAATAACATATGTACTAAATTTACATCTCATTTAATATTTATATATAGTCATATAATTATATTATTTACCTAACTTTAATTTTTCTCTTGGAAATTCCCATTTTTTATCGTAAGGAAGTAATTCTGCTTGATCATCCACTGTTAATTCTGGATTCAAACATTCTACTGCTCCTTCTTCAAAATGCATTAATCCTGCTTCCATTAATTCTTTTCTCATGATCTAGAATATAAAAAAATATATGTATATATGATATGTTTCATAATTGCAGAATATTATATAAATCGTGAAATCACTAAATATCAAGAGTTAAAAAAATCATTAAAAAATTGAGAATATTAAAATAGAATCTAATTATGTATGTTGAAAATTTACAAATAAAATGTTATTGTTCAATAATATAATACCTTTTCACGGCGAATCTTGATTGTAAAATAGACTACCAAAATTACTACTGTGATCGATAAGATGACAATCAATATTATTAGTTCCTTCGGAACCTCTTTTCCTATAGATTTTAAAAAGTTTCGTAAGAAATTTTTATATTTGATATATTATGAAATGTTTTATCGAAAAAAATAAACTCTGTTCAATATTGTATAATTTAGTAAATTACCTTTGACTATTATAATTCCGTGTGCCTTAATTACTCCTAAACGATTCTTGCCTTTACATAAGTATACTCCACTGTCAATATCCCTTAGATAATTAATATGCAATTCTTGTTGATTATGGGTATATGTGAATTGATCACCAATTTTTATTGGTTCATCATTCTATAAAAAATGAAATAAATAATATAAATAAAGTAAATCAACAATATATAATTTTATATAATATAAAAAAGAGAATTATTTATATAATACAAAAAAATAATAAAATATATGATATATGACTATTTTTCATTAAATAATTTTTAGTAAGTATAATAGTAAAATTATTTGTTAAATAATATTTAATTATATGATTTAGTAATATTTAGAAATAAATTATCAGATACTTACTTTATACCACCTGACTATTGGTTTAGGCATTCCACCTACAAAACACTGTAGTATTAATGAATTGTGTGAATCATGTGTATTAATATCAATCGTAATTTCAGTTCCGTTTAGATTGGTTTCCTTCATAAAAGGTTTCACTGCCCCTAAAAAAGAAATAAATAAGAATAAAATTAGAAAAATCAAAAAGAAAAATCGAGAATTTTATTTGTTTAATTTTTTTAATCATGCATTTATTAATCATTTGCAATAAATTTAAAAAATTTTTAAATTTATGATTTAAAATAATTCATCAAACAAATTTTTGATGATTTAACAAAATTAATAACAATAATTAAACTATTTCAGGTTTTTATACTAATATATATATTTTTTTCCTATATAAATTATATCCTATATAAATTACTTACCGTGAACTTGAAGAAAGAAATCCATTTCTTCTTTATTACTACATGTATAAATCATCGAATCTGCTTTTGTTACATTTTTTATCTTTAAGATCGAACGATAAGTAAATCGAGTTTTAGTTTGTTCGATTGTCAATCTATCTAAACGTACCAAAAACAAGCAATTAAGTAAAGAATTGGCAAAAAATATAATTCTTCTTTCAAAATATATAATAAAAGATATTTACCATTTTGTACAATAAAAGTACCATTCGCGTATTTCCATTCAAAATTGCTCGTGTAATTATAAATGGAGGCAGCACAAATTAATTCTAAATCGTCGCCTTCAACTACTGAATCCTTTAGCTCAATTATACCGAAACCACCTCTTCCATCTATATTTTTTAAAAATTGATATAAAAGTATAAAAAATGAAAAAATGACATAAAAACAAAATTAAATAATATTTAAAGTTTTTATCGTGATAATATGTATGATACATATATTATGATTCCATGAATATCTTGCAAATAAAATTGTAATTTAATTATTTACCAGAAACCAAAATGGTTTCAGTTTGAGATTCGCATCCAATAATGTTGCACGCGCTACAGGTAAGATGACCACTCATTTCAATAATCATCTTTACGATTGAATGAAATCTGGTGTTCATTCCACTTTCTTTTGTGTTCTATAAAATTAAGAAAAATATCTTTCAAATAAAAATAAAACAAATATTTAATATAAATTTATAAAGTTTTAATATAAAACTTTTCAATTCTTCAATTGTTTTCATCGTTTGTTTATAATTATAATTATAATAATGTTTATTTAAGAAAGATGTTACATACTGTTAATTCTATAGTGGTTGCATTTTCATAAGAAGGATAATAAGGGTACTTAATAAAATTCCACGTTATGTTCGGTGATGGAAATGTTGCCACATCACAAGATATTTCCACCGTCTGATTAGGACTATAATAAGGCTCTACCTTCAACATTGGTACTGGTTTTACTGAAAAAAATGTTAATATATATAAAAAATAATAAATATAATAAAAAAATTTTTTCTTCGATTATTGAAAACAAAAGTTATATACCTAATACATCTAATGTAAAATTCAACATATCGAATTTATCTTGATTAGTAGCTTGAAGAGAATATTCTCCCATATCCTCGATATTTAAATGATTTATTCTTAAAATTGTATTAGTAGATTCTGTTTTTATCGCATATTTCGTTTTTTTTGGAGCTTCCCAATTACCTACGATTTCTTCTCCTTTTGTATTTAGCCTTTTAAAATTATTCAGAAATAAGATATTAAATATAATAAGATATTAAAAAATTTTTTATTCTAATTAATTCTATTAATAATTTTCTATTTAAAATTATTACCATTTAAGAATAGGTTCTGGATAAGCATGCACATGTACAACCCATTGTATTTCACCACCTTCATGACGTTGATAATGTCTAACAGCATCCTGTGCTGTTAGGTTGATAAATTTGTTTTCCGGATCTAAAAATATATATTTAGAATAGTTTTTAATATAAAAAAACATTTTATTAAATTAAAATTAAAAAATTTTATTTTTTTTAATTTTTTAAATAATTAAATAACTAAAAAAAATTATTTTAACTTCAACTCACCATGAACCTTGATGAAGATTTTCGTTTTTCTAGAATCATGAAACGATTTTATAACACATTCGTACAAACCTTCATCTTCGTATCTTACATCCTCTATAATCATTTCGATAATCGCTTTTTTAATTGGACCTGTTTTTTCACTGTAATCAACAGTTCTTATTCTAGTATTCTGGAATCATATATAAAATTTATTTTTTTAATTTAATTTCAATTTAATGATTTGAATAAAAATAAATTATTTTCGAACCATTTGCGGTGTAATCCAACTTAAAAAATAATTCATATCTGTTTCAACGATCGTTGTGCAATTTACACGTAGAATTTGACCTCTTGTTACATGACGTAAATTATCCTCCGCAATTTTTGGTTCGTTCAATTCATGCTTCCCTAAAATCAGAAAAAAAATTTCAATCAATTTCAAACTATATTCAAAAAAAAAAAATAAAACAGAAATAAGAAGAATTTCATTTTAAAGAAAATTAAAATTTTATTTATTTATAAAAAACAATCAAAATAGTCACATTAAATTAAAAAACTCAAAATATTTTCTATTTTTTTTCAAAATTATTATAATTTAAAAATATTCGTATTTAAAATCTTATATACGAATTAATTTACACATTTAAGATAAATAATAATAAAATAATAAGTTTTTTTTGTTATTATTAATTAAAGAATCATACTTATAAAAATTATTCATTATTTAAATTATATAATCACATTTTTTATAAATTAAATAAAATACAAAAAACTATAAATTATTATAATGGAAAATTTTTAAAATAATTAAATTTAAAAATATTTTTTCATAGAGTATACATACGAATCACGAGTAAGTAATAATTTATTTCTTGGCGTACATCTGCTTGTATGACACATGTATAATAACCGCCATCTTTCAGCGTGATGTTTGTCAATGTGAAACCAATCCTTGGATGGAAATTCATTTTATTCACAGCCTATAATACAATAAATACAATTTTACTTAATATTTTTTGTTTTATATATATATTTTCTTTATTTTCTTATCTATCTATTTATAAAATGTTATTTATAAAATTTGATGTTATAAAACAAAATAGTAACATCATATAAGACACTCTGTATCTTCCTCAATTTTAGAATTAAGAAAATGATAAAAAAATGATTAATCTCTGAAAACTTAAACATATTTTAAGAAAAATAAGTATAAGTAAATAATTTCTTATTTTATTTTCCAAAATTAAAAAAATACTTAAAAAATATTTAATTTCTAAAAATATTCTATTTTTAAAAGATAAATCAGATAAAGATACGTCAAATTAAAAAAAATTACAATTAAAAATTTAAAAACAAAAATCTTTTAATATTTTTTATTTTTTATGCTCATTTTAAATGTTGTTTTAATTAATTATTATTTAGTTTAACTATTATTCTGCCTAATAAATTATTAACAATTAAAACAGATCAACTTACTAAATCATTGAGTAAGAGTTCAACTGTGAAATTGGGCGACGTTGGTCTACAAGGTATTAAAGCGGTTTCTCCGACTGCTACATTTAGTGAACGAAAACTATCTGTTTGTACAAACATGCTTCTGTTCGCTGAAATAGAATAATTATAGCATTAAATTGATATATTAAGATCATATGATTTTATTATAATATTTAAAAAAATTTTATCTATAGTCATTATACATATGTGGACAATTATTAGTCTAAACAATATTATAGTTCAAATATGATGAATAATATAAATGTAGAATAAAATAATAACAATAATAATAATGATAATCATTATTGTATCAAATCATCTAATACCAAGCTGTTAATTCTATCATAATATAAAATGTATATTTTTTTAGTAAACTTATATTTTACGACATAATTCAATTTTGTAAATATAGTTTCTTAAATTTGTTATAAAAATAATATAAAATTCTAAAAATACATTAAAAAAATTGAATGTCTCTGTTTAGACAATTATATTCATTATATTTTTTACAAAAAAAGTAACTAATAACAGTAAACAACAGAAGTAACAATAAATCCTAAATGCTAAATACTCTAATTGCTCTGTTTAAAAGATATTAATAATAATAATAAATATAAAGAGTTGTTCTCGAGGATATTTTTCGCAAACAAATATTGCGTTGAGAGTGATTTTCTGAGAATAATTTATTCTCAACACAATATCTATTTTTGTATTAGCAAGATATATATCTCAGCATATAACAAGAAATACTCTCCAGAACAACTCTCGAGAATTTTACTTTATTTGTGTTCTAAAAAAAAAATATTTAAAAATCCACTTACATTGAACATAAACGAATACCAAACTTTCAGATGTTTGAAAATTAGGGTGTGAGGTAACTTGCAAAATATTACCGGGGCAACCATACAATCCTGTATCCCCATAAACAGTTTCGTTTCGTTTAAACACAAATTTGTATACGTCATCTTCGAGACTTTCTTCTTTAAAGGGTGTCGAGGTGATGATCTATCATAACGAAACAATTAACAAGAAAATTAATTCTTTTTTTATTTATACCATATCGATATTAGCTTCTTTTTTTTTTTTTCTTTTATAACTTACTTACATTGGGTTCATCTTCAGGATAGACAAAAAAAATACTTTCGAAACCGGTGCATGTGATCTCCAAACTATCACCTTCATTTATAAGAAGCTCCGTAGCTTTTTCTATTTCATCTATGCTCATTGCTGTTGAACCTGATAATAAAAAAATTATAAATTATTGAACGATAAAGAATTGGTGAAAAAAATTAAAATTAAAAAAGATATACAGAAACGTATATTATAGTGGAATATTGAAGAATGTAGAATAGCAAAGAATATCGTAGAGATTTTTTGTAGAGAAAATATAAACCAAAAATAAAATTTATCTATAACAGAGTATGTTTTTCTAGGAGATAGATATTGAAAATGCAAATGAAGACGCACTTAACATAAAATGAAGGTGCACTTAGCCGATATTGATAATCGATAGATTAATAGATAGCTGATAACTCATATCGATCACGAACTAGTAGAGTATAATATTAATACAGATTCGTATTTATCAATATGGATAAAAAAAAAAAAAGAAATGTACAATTAATTATTTACATAATACATTTTCAAAATTTTATTTTAGAATATAAGAATTTTCAATTTTCGAATTGAAGGAACAAATTGAAATTATCAATTTTGAAATGAAAAGAAAAATTATAATTTTAAAAAGATTTTCAAATTTTTCTTCAATTCTTTATTCTGATAAATAAATGAACAAAAGTAAAATATTATAATCAAAAACTTTCAATTTTCAAAAATAAAACATTTATATTTGTAGATTTTCAGATTCTGGAACGAGAATATTTCGAAATTAAGGAGAAATTTTTAGCCGCAATGTCCTGTGGATAATCGGTTTTATCTTCTATTCTTGGTACTATATTTTCCGTAAAAATACACATATGTGCCGTACGAGAAATCGTTTCTGCGCATATACAACCGTCTCTAGGAAGGAAGTCCTTTCTTTCCTCTTCTGATAATGCAGCCACATTATCAATCAACTTGTTTCACAGAGAAACAAATAAATAAATCAGGAGCAAAGGCTGGCGAGAATCTTTTGTTAAATTTATTCTTTAATAGATTATTATCATGTAAAACAGTCTTTGATGTTGATGAATATTGTTTTACGAATAATTTTTATAATATTAGAAGAGAAACGTGTTAAATATTTAATCGTTAAGTCTTATTGTGACATCTTGGATGAATGAATGCCAGCATTAAGTTATTTAAGAAGATATTGAATTATGATAATCTTTGACATAGAATTTTTATATTATATTTCGTATTAAGTTTCGTATCTAATTTAAATTAAAATAATATATAATACTTATTATAATTTTTTCTTCAAATTAATTTAACAATTAAATAACATTCTTATTATTTTACAATATATTAATTGTAATATCTATTGATATTATTGATATTATTAATGAATCTTAGGATCAAAAATAAATAAATGCTAAATTTAACAAATAGATTCTTTTAATATATATATCCAATTAATTCTTAATATGTTTATATGACAACATCACTTTCAAGATAACAGATGAAAATAATTTTATATATAACTTTTATGTACACACAAAATCGTGGGACTTGTTGCCGCATATTGGGAAGTCTTGATAAGAACTGCCCAACCTACTAACGATAAAAGATGAGGAGAAATGAATGGCCCCTCACAGATTAACTTAGTATTCAGATATTTTCTTTTTGTCGTATAAATACAAAGATTATTATTGCAAACAATAATTCGAATAATTGAATTATTTGTAAATTATAATATTTTTATAATACATATGTTATGAATAAAAAAAAATAATAATAAAAAAAATAAATAATAATTAAAAATGATTACATTTGAAACTAATTATTTTACATAAAATTTATTTTTATTATTATTGATTTTTGTTTCAATATATATAAAATATTATTTTCTATTCTATATTCTATATTATAAAACAATATTTTATTCAAATTCTAATGTATTAAAAACAGCATATAATCTAATATTTGAAGTATATTTTTTAATTGAAAAAAAGATTCAATTAAATTATTGCGCAATCAAAGTTTATTTACAAACGTAATATTTAACATATCTAAGATATATTGCTACTTCTACGAATAAAAGATATGAAGAGTTTGATTTGATCATCGTTATTCAAGTGAAAATACCAATGTGTAACCAATCGATCAAATCGTATTTATTAAAAAGATTGTTAAATCATATTTATCAAAAAGAATTTTTAAATCAATATACGATAAATATTTTATATTTTATATTTTGAATGATATTTATCTCTTTAAAAGAGTACAGCGTATTTTGCATATCATAGTTATTTTTTTCACCTTATTAAGTATTACTCATATTAAATAAAGTCAATAATAAGATCATCATTTTTAATCGTATCTTTATGAAAAATATTGTTCAGTGTATAATTTTCTTTTTCGATGTCATGTTATATAAATAAATTTTATATATAACAACATTTTCCTTAAACATACATTAAAAATAAAAATATTCTATATTTCATTTACAAATATTAAGAATTTTATTTATCAATTTTTATTATATATAATTCTCTTCCTTTCTTTTAAAATATTTTCTCAAATAACGAATAGAATGTAAGATATTTGCGCGGGAAATTTCAAATAAAATAAATATAATATATTCCTAAAAAAATTTTAAATCAAGTTTCAAAAATTTTTTTAATGATATTCATGAATACGAATTATTTATGTATTTTTTCAAAAAATATGATATCATTTATAATTTTATGGAAAGAAAAACATTTATAATTATAGAAAGATATTTCTCTATCAATATTTCCTTTAACATTTCTGAAACTACGCTTTGATATCGATCAGTTTTATCGTTCGCACTTTACATGGTTGTTTCATATTGTTATATTTAACGATAAATTGTCAATTCTCAAGGTACAGATATATTCTAATATAGAATATATAGATATATTTCAATAGAATGTTTTAATTAAATACTGCTGTGAGTTGATTGATCATTACGTTTATCTGCGATCTATATTTTATAGATTATCATAAGAGAAATAGGAAATAAGTTATAAATAATTTATTTTAAAAAGTAGATAAACTTTTTTCTGCGTAATAAATACTTAATTATTTAATAGTATTTCATTAAATCATTAAAATTAATTCATGATTTATAAAAATCATTCAAAAAAATCTGATATCATTATGTAAGAGCATTAGCAAAATGGCAATGACAATTTGTAATTCGTAAAATTATAATAATATATTGCTCAATTATTACAAGAAATATTCTTTTCTTTTCTTTAATTTTTATCCATTTAAATTTTGTTGTATTAATTAAATAAATATTATTATAATGATATAGGATGACTATAGGTTTTGTTAATTGAATTTTGAATATTTCATTTTATTTCTTTTATTATTTACCATTCATTATAAAATATTTTAAAAATCATAATTTTAATCTTATATAGTATGTTAGAATTTTAGTTTAAAATGAATGAAAATTTTTCATTAATTATTTATGTACGGTACCAAAATAATAATAAAACATTTAAAACGAATCTGGTTTATTTCTATACTATTTTTAGATTCTAATTTAAATCAGAAAAACTAGGGATAAACGCATGTGATTAATATGTTTAATTATTATGCAAGTTACGAGAAGAATCTGAACATTCTTTGTTATTGACGCGTTATTGAATTCGAGATATTTTGTACATCAAAATAGATAATAAATCAATGATATAATTTAAGAAACAATATTGTTCTAAAAGAAATATTTGAAGTATTTCATTGAATAAAGACTAATGAGATTCTAAATTTTATAATTTACAAATTAAATAATTATTTTATAATTTCAAAATTCAAATATTTTAAAAATATCAAAATTTTTATACATATATTATATATATTATATATATAATTTTCAAAACACTATTTTAAACAACGGTATATGTACATTCCTAGAGTTATTGTTCTATAATAAAACTTTATATTATTTATAACCTTCTTTTTTATTACAATAAAAGAAACTTGAACAAATTACAAATCTTTGAAACTAATTCAATCAATTGCCAAACCATACTTTTTTTACTTAACCTAAAAAACATTAATAAAACCTTAAATAAGATAATTAACCTTTTAATATCATCAATAATCATTATATACGTAAGAAGGTCAGGTATGATACATGATTCTCAATGAAGTACACAATAACAAGTGGTATGCAGCATTCAAAAAACCTGTTTTTCTTAGCGTGACTCAATGGTAACCACGTGATCATGACACCTCACCGAAACAACGGATTGGTCGCCAGGTGAATATAGATGACAGGTAAAGGCATTACCTCGATGGAGAACAAGGATAACTATGATTGCATTGATTATTCTTGAGATATGTATCATCTTCATCTTCTTTATTTATTACACATACACCGATTTTTAATTATTCACTGGTCACTTCATATTTTCAACAAGGAAACACACTGAAACCGACAACCTCTTTCATAGAGGAATACCCATGGATACATACGCGCCACGATGCACGATCACCAATGCTCGACGTACGGTTTCTCACTGAAGGAATGAACCGAACGAACGGGTTACGCACAAGCATGATTCTATGAACAACGAGCCCCACCCTGACCGATTCTCTGACTATGTGACTGGTATTACGAGTTATCGGTGACGACAACGTCATCTTGTTCTCCTTCATTTGGTCTGTATTCGAATTTAATCGCGCGAATAAAAGATTGGAGAACCGCCATGTCACTTTCTTACGTACGTTCAATTGAGCATGCGTAATATTTAAATTTTGTAAAGAAACTTAGAGCATGTTGGTTCATAAGATTTATCAGATCGATAGTTGTTTTGTGTTTTTTTAAAAAATATTGGGACTTTTATTTCTGTATAAAGAATTATTATAGATATTTTTGTATGAAATTTATCTAATTAAATATTATTTTATTTTTCTAAAGTTAAATAATCAAAATCAATAAATAATCAAATTTAAATTTTCATATATATTTTAAAATGCTGGATTTTAATTAAAAAAGATAGTATTTATATAAAATATAATATATCATATTATTTTTAATATGATATATTATATTTTAATATATGAAATAAGTTATTTATTTCATATTTTACTAATAGTTTGTATTGAAGAAAATTTTTAAAACTTAACTATTAGTTGCTATAATGCTTTCTCAATACGTATGCAAGTAATTTTTTTGAAATTTAGTTTTAAGAGAAAATGAATAGAAAAATTTTGTAGAATGATATAGATATAAAAAAGAATTCTGTATAATAATAAACAATGGTATTATTAGATATAGAATTATATTGCGTGTATAAATAGTAAACGATGATAAATAGTTAGAGATAACTCCTACCATATATATAATAGAATGATAGGAGATAGAAATTTGATTCTATATATGTGAATTAAAATTGATAAAAAATATAAATATAAATTATAAATTAGAAGTCCTCGTTAACAAAAGTTATTATTATAAAAAAATAAAAAACTTTAATTGATAGATTTTATGGAAAATAAAGTAATATAAAAAATTTTTCAAAAACAATATAAAAAACATATATTTACCTAGAGATCTATATAATTGTTTTCTTATTAATTTACAATCCTATTAATATATATATAATAATATTTGTTTACTTATCGTCTATTATATTAGCAATTTCTGTAATTGAGACTTCATTTTTTGAAACATATACATTTTTAAAAATTTAAATTACACAATTAATTAAAAATGAATTTATCTATATGCAAATTTCTTGATTTTTGTTTAATAACAAATATAATTTTTACTTTATGACATACATTAATAAATAATTTCCACGAAACAAAAAATATGAAACATGAACATGATAATTATTTAAAATGATAATATGATGTTCTTATGAAATAAAATAAATTTATTACTTTGAAATGCTTACTTTTAATTATAGCGAATCAAAAACATTAAAGAACAGATCTTTTTTTTTCTTATTATTCTAAATTTTATGAAAATTTTTTTTTAAATTTTAATACATATAATATTTTTTAAAAATTATTGAAAAATTAAAAGGATATTAATGAAAATTATAAAATATTTTTCATTGAGAAACTAATATGTCTCATTCGATTTTCAAAGGTCGACATAAGTGTGACTTTTAAATTAACACGATTTAGCTGTGAATCAGTCGAGATCATTGGTATTTGACGAGTAGAAAGTAGAACAGTACGAGTACATTCATCTTGGACTACCAATATGAATATTACACAATATTTATATGAATATTAAAATAATTTTTTATTTCATAATAAATAATTAAAATATAGTTTAAATTATTAATTTTCAATTTAACACAAAAACTTTTATAAAAAAAAATAAAAGAAAGATCGAAAAAATATAAAGTTTTATTGAAAATATATTGATAACTTTGGAATTATAATATCATCAACTTTGGAATCATAAAAAAAGTAACCTTGATAATTGAAATATTTTTTATAAAAATTACTATAAAAATAAATATACATCTAGAATATACATCTATTATTCTTTAAGTTGTTTTTATAATAGTTTCATTTATTTGTTAAAACAAAAAAACAACATATTAATTAAAAACAACACATTAATTCAATGTTTTATTACATACATTTTAAAACACGCTCTTTTTTTTTACACATAATTATAGGTAAAATGATGTATTATATATAATAAAAAATATTAAATAATATTTTAAATATATTATACTATGATAGGATAATAGGATCATAATTCTTATTAGAAATTACAGTAGCAAAAAGATCACATTCAAACATTATAATCAATGTTTTGCAACAATGATTGTTCAAAATAATTTTTCTAAAATTTTCTTAAATAAATATTACACTATTACACGAATTATTAAAATTTATTCTATTTAAATTATATACAAGTCATAAAATATTTAATCTTGCAATGTATATTCATTTTTCTTATTCATTAATTATAAATATAAAATTTATTTAAATTTTTCTTTAAATAACGAATATATAATGGATATTTGAATGTACATAAATTTTACGAATTTTAAAACTTTTTAGAATTTTTTTTATTAAAGTCTAACTTAAAAAACTTGTGTGCCATTGAAGGGTTAATATAGCTTCCAGTCTTCTTATCCTTGATATTAAATGATTATCTTAAAATATGCTTTAATAACAGATAATATAAAAGATTGTATATATAACTTTATCTCTAAGTATATTTTCATGAAATTATATTAAAATATTTAAAAATGAATAATAAATATTGCTTTAGTAAAATAATATTTTGCTATTTCATTAAGACTAATATAAAATATATCATTTTGAGGAATTCCATCAATTTTTTTTTTCATATAATCTTTATCTTTGAATGTTAATATGTAATAATGAAATAGTAAATGTGTCACAATAAAACTAAATAATTAAAAAATAACTATCTAGTTGGTGGTCTATTTTATTTAAAAAAAAATTAAAAATAAAAAATTTTTCAAAATAAATTCTATTCAAAATTTAATTTAAAAAATATAATTAAAAAAATTATAATTTGACTTCTATACATTTCTGAAATTGAATAAAGTTATAACCTTAAAAATATAGTAGATATATAGTATAGATATATTTATGTGTATATATATGTATATATATATATATACATAAATAAAATCTCATAAGCCAAAATTAAATTTAATTAAAATTCAGTATTTAAATTAAAAACATTCAGTATTTAAATGAAGGCATTTTAAAATTTTAAGATTATTTTTACTTTTTTTTAATTATATGAAGATGTGATACTAGCTAAAAATGTTTTAATTTTTTTTTACATATTTATGAAAATTTTTAATAAAATTTTTTTAAAATGCCTACATTTTCATATTGAAAACGATATAATTCATATAATTCATTAGTCGAAATTTTAATTGTATAAATTAATTTTTTCTATTTATAACATTTATCTTCTATCGTTTTGAGGTTATATCTCATCCAGTGCAGTAAAGCGTCCTCTATGATGTCTTCTAACGTCAACGTTATAGTGCGACCTCTGGATTAGTATTACTGTGATTCGTGGTACATGAAACATGATTTCCATCATTAACGTCTACGTTTATCGCATAGGAACTTTCGTCTCTCGTGTTATCTTTATCACTTTGCCTTTGTTTGTTTTTTGATTGGCATGAGCTTCCGTCAGATTGGTTTATAGTCGTTTGACACGATTGTAAATTTTCTTCATCATGAATAGCGAATTTCTTCAGATCAATCGTAGTTGAAGAAGGAATGATTTCCTTTTTCTCAAGTTTCTTGTTTATGGATTGTCCTTGTTTTTTAATTGATAAGTCTGAACATGAGTCTTCGATAAATTTTTCTTTTGAACAACATTGAGATGAACTACAATGTTCACCGTGGCAACGAATCAGACAACCAGTTTTCTCCATGTTTGGCCTCATCTGATCAAATTAAAAATAATATGAAGAAGTTCTTTATTGCATTATTTATTACTTAATGTTTAATTATTTGAATATTTTGATATTATAAAAAGATTAAAATTTTTAACTCATTGGATCTCAAATTTCTTAAATATACATAAAAATCGCTAGAATTCCTCACAGATTTTTCTCAAATTTATTGTATCAATTTATTAACATTTTTATATAATTTATTTATAAGTTATTTTAAGTTGATTCTGTATAAATATATAATACTTATATCAATTTATATATATAATACTTAATCAATTTATCATTTTCATTTATTAATCATTTATTAATCAATTTTATATCATTTTTAATTATTTCTTATTTATTTCTTTCATAGCTATTTGTTTATCATGATATTTATAAATTAAATTTCTTTACATACCTTATGGAATTCCGGCTGTATCGTAACTTGAGTTATTCCCATTTCTATAAAAAATGCTGTTACTTGATCAGTAATACTGGTATATACCTATAAAATATTAAATACAAGAAAATATTTGCGATCAAATTAAGATTATTTTTTATTGAATACATTCGCCAAAAAGAAGATATTTACCATTGGGTCCAAGAATATGATATGGACTGTTGATATTATTTTTTGTCCTGTTAATTGCCATACATGTAAGTCATGGACGTTTACAATTCCGGGAAAAGCTTCTAGCAATTCTCTTTTGAGAGAATCGATATTTATGTGATTAGGAATGGTTTGAAGCAATATCAAACCTGATTCTTTCACTATAACAAAATAAAAATTTACATAAATTTCCATAAAATCATGAAAATAATATAATGAACTTATATACTAACAATATTAGAAAAATATCAAGAATATAAGTTGAGAATATTATAAAAATAATCTATAATTCAAAAGATTAAATTAAAATTACATAAAAATACTTACTATACGAATAACTGAGGGCGAAAAGTGAAATGGAAGAAATAATAGCGAAAAGTGGATCGATATATTTGGCTACGCCAGAATCGGTGAAATATACTAGAATGGATACCAAGATAACGAAAACACAGCCCAAAGCGTCACGACATGTTTCTCGAAGTCCTTGGCTCTTTGGTATGCCCAATGGACTTCGCCTGGTTTGCGAAGATAACTGTTGTTCACCCTCCTTCGTTTGCTGTGAACTAACATTTCTAGAAAATAGATAAATGCGTATCTTAGTTTCGAAAGTCTTTTATATTTTGTCTTTAATTTTCAAGAATAGATAATTATATATTTTAGCTTTTGAAAATATTTTATTTTAAATTATCAGAATACAATAATGACTATTTTTTGATTTTGGTTTAAGTTTTCTATATTTTTTCTATTATTTTTTTTTTTGAATTTTTAAAAATAATAAATCTATATTTTAATTTTCCAGGTATATTTCATCTGATTTTAATGAAATGAGAATAAATGAGAATAAACTATTCACTTATAAAATAGTCATTGAATCTAATGAAATCAAAAATAGATAAATAATTAATTCATTGAACTCTAAAAGTGTATTAAATATTAGATAATCAAGTATTATTTTTCATATATTATATTATATTTATATTAGATATGAGAAATTCTACTATATCTATAATGTTGATCACAAACCTTCGTAATATCACATCTCCGTTCATCGTGACGTGGAGAACAATACCTTGATTGAAGGTATATCCTCCAATTAATATATAACAAAACGCGTTGAGGAGGATTCCAGATGCACCAATTGTAAGGACAGGCAGTGGATGGTGCATTTCGTCCAAGTGGTCTATGTGTACCAAGGTCTGCATAGCTTCAACCAGTAAGGAAAAACAGAAGGATGCTAGAAATACGCAGCAGACGAGCATCGTGACAATATCTATCCTCGCCCAGCCGAAAGTGTTTTTCATTCGTCTATCCGATCGTGATTGCTAGAAAAAATAATTTCTTTACTTATTAAAATAAAAAATATTTCACTAATTTAAAATATTTTGTATAAATATTATCATCATTATCTTTAGTGCTTATAGATATAATTGTCAATCGATTTTAGTTTCAAAAATATATGCAAAAATATTTTTAATATTATATATACCAAAATTTTAATTTGAATAGATCAGATTAAGTTAATTAATTTCTTTTTAAATCTTCCTTCGAAGTTTAGAATCTTAAATCTTTTATAATAAATTATAATTGATAATTAAAATAGACTAGAATTTTAATATATGATTGTTGAAATTCTAGACAATAAAATAATTGATTCGATAATTTGTTAATCGAAAAGAAAATAAATATTCGAATCATTTTATTATTACCTTAGTTTTTGTTGGTAGAGATGTGGAAGAACCTCGTTCATCGCCATTTATACAAATAACAGAATTTTGTAACGAACTAGAAATGCTGTTACCATTGTAACCATTTTGACGATGACTATACTACAAAAAAGAAATATGCTAGTACTTACTTGAATAAGACTAATTAATAAGTTATAAATAAATGACATTATATTATAAATAAAAATAATTAATTTGATTGTAAATATGTTATTTTAATTATTCTTTTTTGTCTGTTCTTCATTTATTCGATATTTAATAAATATCTACATAAAAATTTATTATATATAATTATATATTATTATTATACATAATTTTTATTTAAAATTTAACTTTGCAATTGAGAGAGAAATCAAATATCAGATCAGATCAGAATAAAAATGCGACACTAATAATGTTAAAAATAATAATAATGATGATTTATATCATAATTAGTAATAAGAATTATAATATAATAAAAATATTATTTTAATACTATTAATAATATTATTTAATAATATTATATATTAATCATTTCTTCTTTAATTTAATTCTCAAATTTAAATTTGAATCAATTGTGAATTGTAATCGTGTTAACTACATAATGCACGAGTTTAAATCGAATAAAAGGATAATATTCTGTATGAAAATGATTTATTATATTATTTATGAGAGAATAACAATGCAGTATAGAAAAAAATAATCTCCAAAATTTCACATTTCTTTTCGCAAATTTCACATCTTTTTTCGGAAATCATTTTGAAGAATAAGTTTTAAATTTAATATTGTGTTAATTTTTATGTCATTAAGAAAGTTTTTCAAGAAAATAGAACTTTGAAGATAATCCTAGTGTCATATATATAGAGAGATAACAAAAAAGATTGTATTTAAACCTTTTATATAATATGGATAAATTTATCAGCTTCCTTGAAATTTTTTGCTGCATTTCATTTTTTTTTTTTTTTCACTAACGACAAGATAACAAATTTCTAATGCATCAATTTAATTCATTGTGAAATATAATGAATTTATGAAATTCGATAAATAAAAAAAAAGAGAGAAAAAATTATAAAAATTATTAAACAAATATTCAATACGATAAAAAAAATTAAAACAAGTGATAAAAACACAAGAAAAACGTTCAAAGCGATAATAATCGTTTTATAATTACCTTTCACTTGATCCAAATAAATATCATGTTTTGCTAAAAATCCAAAAATATAATAATAAAAGAGAAAGAATTTAGATATCTTCAATTTATAATTTTTATATATATTATATAAACTTATTACAAAACTTGCTATTTCTTATGAAAATTATTAAAAAATACTAAAATGAAACTTATACATACTTATAATTTTCATTTGAAACTTACCTTGATTGATGCGATACAGCCGACAAGTGCAATAATGTTGCACAGCATATGATAAGCATTGAGTAGCAATGTCAGTGAATGAGTCACATGGCTAGCGACTATCTCGACGAGGAAGAAAGCGGTGGTGAAGAACAGGACCAGGTACAACTGGACCGGCTGTAGTCTTCTGAACCATTCTTTCACAGCCATGACCCTGCAGCAAAACCATGCAAGTGAACGTTCCTATTTTGTCGTACAACATATCACACACACGGCTATATATATATATATATATATATATATATATATGTATGTATGTATAT